CAAATTAATCGACTATCAGGAGAGAGAAAGTGGGAATTTGCTGGTATGTTTTGATGTTGCGTCTGTAGATGATGCCAAACAGATCAACATGCAGAGGGAGAGAGAGAGAGAGTAATAAACACGGGACCAACGTACATATTTTATCTTTAATGATAGACAAACACGAGGTTTAGCTGTGCGATCAGGAGGCACTTTTAGTTCCTAAATTATCAGTTCGCTCCATGGCAACATAAAAAAAGAAAAGCTGGATAACTTTCTTGGTTTGATAAACAGGATGGATTAGAAGACGAAAAACACAATCGAGTTAGAAAAAGAAGGTGGTTTGTCTTTTCTTAAAGTCTTAGTTCGCAAAGAGGGGACCAGATCAGGAAGAGATGTGTATAAGAAACACACAAATGCAGGTTTCATTTGGTATTTATTCTCCAACCACACTCATGAGGTTAAAGTAGGAGTTATGAAGTTTATGCTGAAAAAAGGATCCTGCGTCTGAGAAAATTAACGTGGATTCTGTTTTAAAATAATTGTCTAGAAGAGCTGGTTGATTATTATTTTATTATATTGTCAAATAGGATGAAGAGATAAACATATTTGGAACCAGACAACATAGACAGCTCTCTCCACCAGAATCCTTATGCTGCCATCGTGTAATCTGTCGAAGAAGATGGGCGAATTACTGAAAATGTGGGACATCAGGACCATTTATAAAGAGAAAATAACACTGTCTTCCATCAATTATATGAGAAAGCATGGCTATGTGAAATTCAATAAAAACATCAGCTTTACTCAAAACATTGTGTGTAAATGTATTGTATTATTGTAATCTGGAAACTCTACTTACCTACCAAAAATACATTTCTGTTGTGCAGTATTTTTTTATGTTTAAACCACTATAAATACACTAAAATGGGCAATTTCATTCAAATAAATTATTGTTGTTTGACATGAATGATATACATTTCACAATTACTGTAGACATTTTTTCTCAGTAGGCGACTGTGTATTTGCTTATTGGCTGTACACTATAACAGCATTCAATTGGTTCTACGCATCAGAAGTCAAACATTTAGAATGTTAATATGACTTTTAAAAAAGCCTAAATTAATAAGAATCTATTCTTGTGTTGTGTATGATATTACGGCTTAGAACATCCCGATGAGTATATCCGACCTGAAGGAAAGGTCTGTTTAAGCGTTGAAAGATTCGCTGAAAGGAAATGACAATATCGAGCCTTTTACTCATTCCAATATAAGCAGAAACAATCGAGTGAAAATGTACCAACTCCAAGGTTCTATGCTGGGAATTATGATAATTATTATGGCAGAGGACTTTGGACAAGGTGAGTTCTACCAAATCGCCATGACAACAAGTCCAAGTTGCGACAACGGGCTGAACCCATTTCTAGAAACGATTGTTGGCAAAACTAAAAAAAATGGGGCATCATAGATAATGGCTTACTATTCTGCAACACATAATATATTTAATATTCAAATATACCATTTTCTCAACATTTCAATATAAAAGCATTTAACTAGAAAAATTAGACAATGAAGATTAGAAAAATATTGGATTAAGACTTATCATATACATTTTATACAACTTTTCATACGATAAAGTTACGGCTTATTTTAATGATAGATCAGGGAGTATAGATTGGAAAATTGTCTCTCTAGAGGAGCTTAAATTAAGTTGAAGCAATTTGTGACAGGATAAAAAAAATGTTGTGAAATGATAATCATTTTTACTCTGTGGAATGTATGCGACGCCGAAGCAAGGCCCATATTCATCGTTGGCCAATTGAAAGAGATATTCTCCAGCTGAATCGGGAATTTCATTTCTTTCTTTTGATATGCCAGATGCAAAGTCAGTTGGCTTTTGTAGACCGGCGGAGTAGCAAATAACGCGTCGATGCTCACGATCAGCAACACAGACAGCATCGTGCTCTTCAATTAGGGCCAATTGATGGGGTACATTAAGTTCATAAGGGCCTGGATTCAATGAGTCTATATACAAATGAGTAAAATTGAAATAAAATTAATAATAATGTAAGAGGCATAAATCGATAGCAAAAGAAAAAAAACGATACAACTTGCTTTATAACATTATATTTTATGTACAGTTTCTATCACAGTATACAACCTGTAGTTTGATGTAATGATTCAACAGCCTAAAACTCGCTTTCGTCTTTTGGTGAGACATGTTTATATGTGGTTTATTGTGGGTATATTAAACCAGGTTTCATTTCCAAATGTATAAAGATCAACTCAACTATTTATGCGAAGAGTAAGTTTGCATCCAATAGTGACAAGATTAATCTCTAAAAATGTAAATATATTACGATTATCACTTATCACCCAGGGCCAATTATGTGTGCCAGTTGATGGGGTACATTAAGTTCATAAAGAGTCAAATTGAAATTAAATTAATAATAATATGAGAAGCATAGATCGATACCAAAAAAAAGAAAAAAAACTATACAAGGTGCTTTATACGATTATATTTCATGTACAGATTCGATCACGTCGTATACAACCTGTGGTTTGATGTAAAGGCGAGTAGTAAGTTGGCAACCAAGATTTGGAATGAGTAGCAAAAGTAAGATTAGTGACAAGATTAATCTCCAAAATGTGAATATAGTACAATTATCACTTATCACTCAGGGCCAATTATGCGTGCTAATTGATGGGGTACATTTAGTTCATAA